TAATAGTTTGTTTATTTTCATAATCATCATCAAAATGCTTTAATTTTTTTTGCTCTGTATCAAAATGCAGGCATAATACAACAGAGTGATAAACTTTATTTACAGACTATCTAAAACTGATCTACAAATTATCTACAAAGAATATACAGACTACCTACATCTTATATACAGATTATATCCTGATTTTCTCAATATAGCTGCCCGTCAGCTGATAGGATTATATTGAAATATGAGTATATTTAAGACATTTCTGTTGAAGTTTTGTGTTGATGTTTGATGTAAAAAAACTATCAAAGTCAGTAATGGAGAAAAATTTTCTCGCACAAATTCTTCGTTGTGAGCTAATTTTTCTAATGTTTAGTGGTGCTTTTCCCAAAACCTCTCTTCTTGAAGCTTGTAATTTCCGGTAAACAAAGAGTTGAGCTCATTATAACACCGAGCGGGTTAGCTCCCCAGCCCTGTAATAATCCAGAAGCATCCTTCAGTATAAAAACTGATATTACGTTTTTGTTTCAACCATTATTACAACAATGAAATAAAACCATTCGGATACCTAAAACTCCTACTTGAAAACCACAAGTTTTTCGGTAAATATGATGTTTGCAGTTGTAGCAGGTATAAATAAACAAAGCAGAAAAAAAATTTCTACAAGCAAAATCAAGGATTTTTGGAAAATCGGTTTGTGGAAATTTTTTAATTTTGAAATCGTTAAGCACTTTATAATTAAAACTTATTTTTTTATGCTGTTTCATGAATCTCACAATAAGCGTTTAGCTTCCGCAAAGCTGTCAATTTAAAGGTAATTTCTAAAAATAGGAGATTTTGAGCAATCAATTTGAAATTAATAGTTATACTGCTTAGCACTATCAGAGTAGTATTAATTTACAAACTCAACAAAGCGGGACAATAATTAAATCAAATCAGAAAAATTCTGAACGGATATCTGTAGCCATGCGAAATTGTTTGAACTGGCGAATTAGATCACCGAGAATGCGAAAAATATGCCAGCGAAGGTCATACGCTGCGTTGCAGTCCGAAACTACTCTTGGTGGAGAAAGAAAGGCTCGTAAACCAGAGGAGATAAGGGAAAGTATCATTGTTGGGGGAGATCAAAACGCTTAACAACCAAAGAAAAATGGCCAGTGGTCAATAGTGGATATGGACAACGACGAGCACAATAAAGAGGGAGATTGGCTGACGATAACAGACCCGTTGGAGATTAAGATTGCAGAAACATTTAACCGAAAAGCACTTGCTGCCCTGGCGAATGGAGACGCAAAATTACGAGAAATGCGGGGCTGCATCATCAACAAGGACGAGGAGATATGTCGCAAGTTAGGCCAGTACTATCATCAACACTGGAATGACATGAACGTGAAACGGGGAATGTTTGTGGTTGTTGAGAAGATTTCGATTCAGAATCAATTGGAATCCGCGATAGTGAAGGTTTTGCACTCAGTTCACCCGGGACAAGCAGGAATGACGGATAGTAAAATTGTTGGCCTGGAAACATTAAGAACATCGTCTTGAAGTCTTCAGCGTGCACGTAATTTGGTGAGAATCTAAAATCCTTGATTCAAAAAGTTACCACTGCCGAAATTCAAAAAGCCAAACGAGGAGCTATAAATTGGTTTCATGGAAGCGATAATTAACGAAGAGGACCGTGAAGATCATATTCTATTTGAAGTTGATTCGTACTCAAAATTTGCTTGCTCTAAAATTTTCAAGAACACAAACGGTGGAAATGTGCTCGGATTCCACGTCTTTTATATTAGGTTACATGGAGTTCCTGGGGTGATAGGAGTTGATCAGGTGACATGCCTCACAAGAACGGTGATTAAAACCTTTGCGTAGGATAATGAAATAGTAGTATTGATATCGCCGGTGGATGGCCATCGTTCATCAGGAACATAGAACGGTTACTTCGTACACTCAGCGAAAAATTAGGATGTACAAAAAAAGAAAGAAAATTTTAATTTAGGTGATAATAAACCAACTGCGGATCACTAAGCAACGAGCAAAAAACGTCACCATTTCAAGCGCATTTAAGCCGCTATCCGAATACTCCAATATCAAACATAATAACTTAACCTAGATTTGATTGGATTCGTGTCTTGATTTCTACCAGTTTGGATGAGATGACTTAGGACACGTCTCTCTTGGACAACAAGAAAGTTAGGGACGAGGATCTTACATGTGACTTTGAGATAGAGCGTCGAAAGAGACGATTACAATAGTTGAATTTGAGGCATTATCGCGGATGACAGAGCAAATGATAAAAAAGTTCCCGGAGTAGAAACTAAGACTAGAAGGAAAAAGGGTCGCAGCATCCGAGCGAAAAAGGAGCTCAAAAAAATGTTCAAGAAGGTGCACCAGGAGGTAATGATAAAGGGAAATTCAAAGTCGACAACAACGATTTAGGAGCTGGGAAACAAGGAAACAGTAATCCGAATTTCAGACTTGGCGAGGACCCCCTCAGCACTGAAGAAGACCCCACCTTTTAAATTCGCTGTGAGCTTGAGGGCACGGCAAAAAATAGGGAAAGCAAGCTGGTAAAAGCGGCCTGGAGAGATTGCAACAGGTGCAAGAGAACATTTCGGACAGGGGGAGCCTGGATAACAGGGGTCGCAATGCCAGATCCCACGGACGTAGAGTCGGGATTGGAGGCTTTATTTCAAGCTGAGGACATGCCAGGGCCATTATCATGACGTGTAACGAGTCAACAGGAGCAAATACTGCCACCAACTCAGAAAGATGCCAGAAGTGTGACTTGGAAATTCTTAGACTTATCAGTGCGTTCGAGCAATAGAGTGAGGAAGGCGAGAATAATCGAAGGAGGGGTCACAAATTGCAAAGCAAAATGGAGCGGTGTGTTGATTCGAAAACAACACAAACGAGATGAGGGCGAGCTAAAAGCAAAATCATCGCAAGGCGAGATCACAGCGGAGTCGATTGCAGGTGATTTTAGAAACAAAATTGAAGAAAATGTCTAAATATAGACATATCAAAACCAAAAAAAAACTGAATATCAAGAAAAATTTGAATTTTAAAGTTTTTCGAAAAGTATTTACAAATCAATTTGCTCAAGGGGTTACGTGGTAGTGCCATCGTTATGGGTTAAGATAGATCTCGTTTTCACGCTAAATGTCATTGCTGATACAAAAGGTCAATGTCCGTTTGATGTTGTCTGGTGGTTGGCCAAACTATGTTCGATAAGACAAATTTTAGTTGTCTATACGATCTGATCTGAAAAAGTTTGTTCTAAGACTGAATTAACCTTGAAGCTCATTTTATTTATTAAGTTCCAGGAACCATTACTTAAATCCTTTAAATAAGTTACGTTATCACCGTCGGAAAATACGAATAACCGCAACTAAAGCTCTGACACAAAATAGCCCAATTTCAGAAATTGTCTCATCGCAAAAAGCTCTTGTAAAGAAGAAACAACAAGTCAAATCATAAAAAATGAAATTGGTGGAAGGTGTGGCATCCAAATTGGGTATCGGAAATTGCGCCGCTGGCAAAATTTTAGAGAAAATGGCCGTTTTTAGGCTTTTTTTGAACATTTTTGACCAAAAGTGCGTTGTTTTCGGCGCGCACTCCCCTCTCAGAATTAAAATTTATATTGGCGCCGAAGGCGCCTTTGGAAATTTTTTAGGTTTCGTCACCAAAAGTGGATATCTCAAAATAGTGCGAAGGGGACCCTTTGGATCGGCAGGGGATCGAATCCCTGACGAAGAAAAAACATAAGCCCCCCGTTGATTTACATGAGAACTCATTCTTCGATTTGCTCAGGGGCAGATTTAGGCCCCTCCCCCCTCAGGTATTCGACCACCTGCCGACCCAAAGGGTCCCACTTCGTACTATTTTGAGATAACTGTTTTTGGCTGACGGACCCTAAAACTTTTCTAAAGGCGCCATTATATATTAATTTTGAAGGGGGATCTTTTGGTCAAAGTTTTCAACAAAGGGCCCAAAAACGCTTTTTTTGGCCTTTTTTTGAAATTTTTTGGTCAAAGTTTTCAAAAACGCGATTTTTTGGTCAAAGTTTTCAAAAAAGTGCCTAAAAACGCTTTTTTATGGCCTTTTTTTAAATTTTGCCTGCGGCGCAGAAAATCTGACCAAAACAGGGTCTTTTTAGTGCTTTGGGAGAGCTCGGAAAATCAGTTTATTCAACCTGAAAAAAAGGTTTCGAATTTTTTTTGAAACTCCCCTCTCGAGAAATGCTAGATTTGCCCCTGGACTTGCTTCGAAGTTATCGTGACTTCCATAGACACTATTGCGCCCATTTGACCATCTTTATAGATTGATCTTGCCAGAAAACCATGTTCAGGCTATGATCTCTCCTTTGGGCGACGACAGCGGGCGACTTTGGATGTTTAGACACAAATAGTGGATTTCGACCTGGCCCCGTGTTGTTGCTGCCTAATATGATTGTTCGACGTCCTTGCTTTGTGGCTCTTGATATGTCAGTATGTCAATATGTCGGTATGTCAATATGTCGGTATGTCAATAAAAAATAGGAGGAGGAGACGAGAGGGAGGGGAGGCTTATGCGTGTGAGACACTTTGCATGATTGAACTGCAAAATGCAAAATTGTGTGCAGAACGTGCTGTTCAAAAATCTCTAAATTGGAAAAAAAAAAACCAATTGCTACCCTTCACATTTCGATTCATTATTGATTGTGTGCGCTGCTTAACCTTTTGTGGCCTTTTGTAAACAACCTGCAATCAATCTGCTTTTTAAAACAATTGGTTCAAAGGCGGGGACGCGATCAGCTAGGGAAATATTTTCCCCTTTCTTTGTTTGAACCCAGTCGGCTAGACACAGTTATACAATAATACCAATAAAACCAGCTTAAAATAGTCCTTCAGTAAAAACCAAGGTGATGTTGGCATTATACATTTTCACATTAAATTAGATTACAGTTTTTTTTTACAACCACACAGTCGTCAATTGGTCTCGATTGCACAAAACAGATTCATATTTAAAAATCAATTTATAGCTGTTTTATATATTCCACCTGTATTTGATCGACTGATGATTAATTTATAAACTGTATTTGATGTTCCCATTCTACATATGGGATATCAAAAAAATTTGAAACAGACATTTGGCTTTGTTTGTTTACATTAGCAGTCGAGCCTCCATTTTTAACAGGTAAAACTGATACAAATGTCGATCCTAAAACCAATTCTACAATTTGCAGTTATTCTAGCCACAGTAACATATACGGCCCTGAATAAAACGTGGCGGCACATCAAATTATTTCGAAAATTTCAGAAAATTTTTTGCCAATCTCAACAGTGCTCCGAGATCTCGCATAAAGCTAAAAGACGCTAGTTTGTCAATGGTCTGTCTTACGAAGGCAAAATTTTATTGTTTTCGAAACTTTTAAAAACTTCAAAAATGAAACAATTTTTTGGCGCTGAAAAGTATAGGTGAAAGTTTACGCAAAATTTTCCAAGAATCCACTTTTTGAACAAATTGTTTCATTTTTAAGGTACGTTCGTAGCCTAAAAATTTTGAAACAAGCATAAAGTTTTACATAAACAGCTTTGTCGTTTTTAGTATAGAAAACTGGTGATATCACAAATTCTTTGTAAGAGCTCAAATCGAGCGGAGTTAATCCGAATTTATGTGTTTTGGCATTTTTTTCATAAAGTCTTGAATTCAAAAGCCCTTTATTTCTCTCGATGACTGCTCGGTTGAACAAAAATGTCTAGCTAAAGTAAAATTACTTAAAGATTCGTTCTCATAGTTTTAAAATGCTGTACTTTTGTATTGTTTTATTGCTGAAAACTACAAAAGCAGCTCTAAATAGCTGTAAAGTGTCTACGAAAACTTTGATTACCAATTTTGAGTAAGTTGATATGCATATGTACCATTTGTAGGACCAATTTTTTTATAAATAAGTGTGGCGGCTAGACGAGATTAAAGAGAGGTAAGTTAGATTTAAAGTCATGCAGACGATATTGATAGATTATTTTTACATCGTTTTGTTTTCAATTGACTTTGATCCAGACAGATAAATGGCGACACCAAATTTACATAGATGGTCAAACAATATCAAGAAACCTACCCGGAAAAACTGAACTAAATTTTTAACAAAAAAGTAGAATCGTGTTTTTTGGCGTGCGCTCCCCAATCAAAAATAGTATATATTGGCTTTAGAAAAGTTTTAGGGTCAGCAGCCCAAAATGGAGGTCCTAAAATAGTACCAAAGGGGGAACCCTTTAGATAGTCTGGGGTCGAATCCCTGAGTGGAAGCGTCCCCCCCCCCCTGAATCCGCTTCTGGTCTGCATTAAATGTTACTTTAACTAGTTCAAAAAACAAAAATTTTCTTCATCTCAAAAAGCGTATTGCTTAGAAGATTTTTTATGAGAAAAAAGCAAAGCGAGCAGATATTTTGCTTATAAAGAAAACAAAAAATTTCAAAGTGTCTTCCAATATATATTTTTTCTAGTAATCTAGCAGCTCAAGAACAATGGCGGCCCTTTCAACTAATCCTTACCTGGAGACCAAGTTCAACAACCCCCCTCTGGCTCGTCCTGACCCCTTACAACTACAGAGGTCACACACTATGGACATCATGCCCCTGAAGAGGATCACGGGGGTGAAGATGGACGGACACATGTACAACCCCAGACTGCCCTCTCTGAGGCGGATTGAGATGGACCACCAGTTGGGAAAGCTGCCCTACGAGCACTGCAGAAATACTACGTGGCTTACCAAACGTAAGTCCACCCGGAGTTTGCTTTATTGTTGCGACCATTGAAAATGGGGAGGAGCTTTGTATTCGAGTGTGTTTTAGTTTTTTTCTTTTTGTTTTCCACGCAAAATCAGCTGAAACAAATCATCATCGGACTGGATTGAGTGATATAACATATTAAAGTCCTTTCAGTCGTGATTCGTAATTTCAGTCTTGAAAATTAAGTTTACTCAAATGAATTTAGTTTTTGTAGTTTTAAGCTTCATTTTAAAAATCAAAAATTTCAAAAAATTCTGGGAAAACTTTGAAAAATTATTTAAAAAATGTTTTTTTTTACTGTTTTTTGTATTTCTTGTAATTTTTTTTCCATTTTGCATACTTTACAATGACTGACAAAATGTTCAAGTTCTACTTTTTCGCTCAGATTCACGCCAAGCCGAAAAAATGACACTAATTTCTTAAGACTGGTCGGAACCACGCCCTATTTTTTAAGACGTGTCGTTGTCACGCCATGCCGAAAAAAGGACAATATTTTTTAACACTAATTTTTGTTGTATTTTTTTAAGACTGGTCGGAACATTCTGTGCTACTTGCACATTAAACGGCTATCATTCTTCCAAAATGTATATAGATGATTTTCTTTGCTACTGTTATTCGAACTAAAAATTTTTTTTTTGAAATGAAAGTGATTTTTTGTTCGTTGTGAGAACACAAGCCTAAAATTTAGGCATATTCGACAATCATAGTGAGTTAGGCTAACTGGGCAACAGTCTTCAATGAAAAATGACTAGAAAAACAAAAAAAATCATACAAACTTCAAAAACATTCTCAAGTTTTTGCAGAAACTTTTTGAATTTTGGAAATTTTTATCCCCAGATGGCACAGAAAAACTCAAGAAATTTTGATCTTTTAGGTCTTGATTATGAGTCATACCAGGGGCGGATCTAGGATTTTCTCGAGGGGGCGGAGGCGGATTTTCAAAAAACATTGGAAAATTTTGACGACCTTTTTTTTTTTAGGTCGACCAAATTGATTTTTCGAGCTTTGCCTAAGCGCTGTTTTGCCCCTTTTTGGCTAAATTTTCTGCGCCGCAGGTAAATTTTTGAAAAAACCGTCAAAAAGGCCGTTTTTGGGCACTTTTTGAAAAATTTTGACAAAAAAAATCGCGTTTTTTTTGGGGCGCGCTCCCCCTCAAAGTTAGTATATATTGGGGCCGAAGGCCCCTTTAGAAAAATTTTAGGGTCGGTCGGCCAAAAATGGATTTCTGAAAAAGTATCAAAGGGGGGACCCTTTGGGTCGGCAGGGGGTCGAATCCCTGAGGAGGGGGGGCGTCCGCCCCCCCCCCCTAAATCCGCCCCTGAGTCATACCGCTTATCTTTTTACGATAAGTCTGTTTGCTCGCCTTACTCGCTCGAAATAAAACTTAAATTTTAAAACACTTGGACTACTTAAAAAAACTATGTGGTTCGAATAATGACCTTTTTTTTTTAGGTCGACCAAATTGATTTTTCGAGCTCTGCCTAAGCGCTGTTTTGCCCTTTTTTGGCTAAATTTTCTGCGCCGCAGGTAAACTTTTGAAAAAACCGTCAAAAAGGCCGTTTTTGGGCACTTTTTGAAAAATTTTGACAAAAAAAAGCGTTTTTTTTGGGGCGCGCTCCCCCTCAACGTTAGTATATATTGGGGCCAAAGGCCCCTTCAGAAAAATTTTAGGGTTCGTCGGCCAAAAATGGATTTCTGAAAAAGTATCAAAGGGGGGACCCTTTGGGTCGGCAGGGGGTCGAATCCCTGAGGAGGGGGGGCGTCCGCCCCCCCCCCCCCTAAATCTGCCCCTGAGTCATACCGCTTATCTTTTTACGATAAGTCTGTTTGCTCGCCTTACTCGCTCGAAATAAAACTTAAATTTTGAAACACTTGGACTACTTAAAAAAACTATGTGGTTCGAATAACGACTGAAAGGGCTTTCATATAATTTATCACTCTTCGCATTCCGATAAGTGTTTGTGGTACCTGATTTTGCGTGAAAAACGAAACAAAAATAAAAAACTAAAACACCCGAGTACAAAAATCTTCCCGGAACAAAAAGTTCACAAATATTGCTTGAATGTGCAAAAAGTTCATATTTTGTTCAGGTTTTAAACCATTTTCATTTATACCACTTAATTTGATTGCTCTAGATTTGACAAAAGCAGTGGGCAAAAATTTGATTAAATTTCCTTAGGTCGACCAATTTTTTTAATCTGAGCCCTCTTTGAACATACTCCTTTGCTTTTAAAAATGTCTGCTCTGCTTTTAAAAATGTCTGCCCTGCTTTTAAAAATGTCTGCCCTCTTTATTTTTAGGCGAGTTTGAAAACCCGACAGTGAAGATATTCGAAGACCGTCAATTCAACAAGCAGATCTTCAGGCAGTCTTCAGCTGGAACTCAAGGCAGTTCCCCCGAAGGAGCCCTGTATTTCAACTCCCCGCGAGGAGACGGGGGAGTAGGGGCGAGTATGACTCATCGGGTTCCGAGTGCCAATGGGGTGAGTAGAGCGGAGATTGCAAGACGGGAGATGGAGAACATGGTTAAGGAACAGGAGAGGTTCTCGAACTATTTGGCCGCTAATCTAAATGTGCAGGCAGCACCGCCAGGTGAGAAAGGTTCATTAATATCTGCAGGTGTAATTAACAAATTACTTAATGTCCGAACTAAGAAAGTAAATGAGTTTTAACAATCAACTTCTTTGTGACTGAAATTTTGTCTCTTTTTGCCTTAAGGTCGGTCAATCATGATTACATCGTCTTTCAGACGTATAATCACAAAAGAGTCACTAAACAATATAGGTCAAAATTGAATATAAACTCTTAATTTTAGAGAACAATCTTTTACAAAGTGAGTATTATTTTAGAATCAAGAAAGCATTCAAATATTTTATCCAGCTTTTTTGTAAAAATTATTGCCGAACCTTCTGTGCTACTTTTGAATAACAGCCGGCTATTCTTGGTTATTTTTGAAAAGTTTCAACCTGAATTTTCAAAAGCTTTTTTTTTGCATCTCAATGTCATTGTAACCCACGGCTTATGAATGCTCTAAATATAAACCAAACTAAATTTGGAGTTATAATTTTCCATGCAGCTCAAAGTTATTCGGTCCCAAGTTGGAGGAGTTACACCAAACCATATTACACTAGCTCGCACAGAAACAAACCATACTCTAAAGCACTCAACACGATTTGTGGGACTTCTCTCAAGTTTTGCCAACCATGTCCTAGTAATTATTTTCAGAAAACAAATTCTAAAATCTTCTCTATGTAGTTCAGTTTTAAGCTACAGGATTATACAACCTGGCTGACTAACCCCCTCTCTCCTGACACTATTTTACGACATTCATTTTTGATCGACCTAATCTGAAATGTTTCTTAAGGCACAAGTATAATCCAAAGAACGGGCAAATTAGTCTTTTTTAGACAAATTAGTTCATGGTCCTTTTGAAAATTTTCTGGTTCGTTTACCAAATACGATGGTTTACTAGGAGTGAAAAAAATGGTAAACTTTATCCGATTGATTTAAAATTATATAAGCTTTTATCAAATGAAACAAATGGGCAACAAATTTTCTAGCTTTGAAAACGAGGGTGGTTGAAAAAGATAGCCTTAGTTAGCTCTTCAGACTTTTACTATTCGATTTTCAAAATTAAACAAGACTGCTCGTATCAGGGCGTAGCCATGTATGTTCCGACTGCCTTTTAAGGTTTATGGAGCAGTAATAACATTAAAAAGTTAAATGTAATAAAACAAAATGAAAATGTTTTTTTTCTTCTAAAATTTGAAATTTTTTATGAAAATCATCCCCCCACACGCCAAATAAAGTACAAAAGGATAGATTCCGCTCCTTGTAACACAAATCAATTATGGTAAATTAGCTTCTTTCAACCATTTTGGAGCGATTTCTAAGACGGATTAACTCTCCGCTTACGCGTTAATAGCGCGAAATAAAATATATCGCGCGTAATTGTCCAGAATTGGCCAAAATGGCAATCTTTAAACCTCCATAACTTTGCAAAAAAAGATCAGAGGTAAAATGTCTTTTCAAATTTGAGCTCAGGACAAAAATACCTTTCGAATGATATAAAAAAAATTCCGCCAAAAATGGCTAGTTAAAGAGCCGAAATTTGTCTGAGGAAAAAAAACCCACCCCGAGCACAAATACTCCGTTACTTTCGTATCTAAAGTCGGAACAAAAACGTATTCACTCCGATTGTTGATTATCACCAGATCTAAACCCAATTTTATCAGACTCATAGATATAGAGTTTGTACGCAGAAATTGTTTGATTTCTAAAAAAAAATTCTCTGAGCCTTCCAAACGTTTGCGAAAATATATATGACATGTGATTCTTTTAGCGTGCTGAAAAAATATTAGGAAAAAACCTCTACATAATATACCGACTAGTTAGCGGCTTGAAATTGTAAAGCGTATTATTTTAAAACAATCACGGCAAAATAAACGTAAAATTCAACTGGTTTTCTATGATTAATTTGGGTTTTCTTTAATTTTGAAAAACTAAAATTATTGAAATCATTCACCACATCGGGGAAATCATTACAGTGATGAAATCTTTCACAACTATTGCAATCAAGGTTCTGGACTCAATTTTCGGTGTTAAGCGAACAAGAAGATTTAAACTTTTTCCCAATAATTGTGTTGAATCAATTATAAAATTAACTGATATTTAGAGGGGAAATACTGGTCTTACTTTAAGGGTAGTAAAGGTATTATTTCACAAAATTTTTGCAAGATACCGCGTTTTGCGAGCTGCTGTAATTGCTAATTTATACGAGTTGTCGTTTTTTTGCGATTTATCTCTTCTTGCGAGTTGTCGTGTTACGGTCACATCGAACCACATTGGATCCACTTAGTCAATTTCTAAGTTTTCTCATAATTTCACCCCATTGCATACCATTTGTCATGGCAAAGAAATTTTTTCACAAAAAGTTCATGCACACAAAAAGTTCTATAAAAGTTGTAGAATTTTGATGACAATATTTGCAGACTACAGTCACGGGACATAGATGTTGCAACTTGTAGTTTTCAAGCAAGAAAAAGAACAAAAAATTTTTAAGTTGTGCCCTTTTCGCTACAACTAATAAAAAACCGCATAAAAGGATTTTAAGGCGTCGTTTGGCTAATCAATCAGAGGGCGACAGAAAAAAGTTTTTAGTGCTAAACATTTTCCTTAAACAGCACAAGCTATTTGATATTTTGGATCTAAAAGTGTTCGTTGGACAGCTAAGGATCTTATCTAGGCCCCTTAAACAAGTTTTTCCTTAACTAAAAGAAATACAAAAAACGACTCAGCTAGGAAACAAAAAGTAACTCCGATTTTGTGCATGTTATCGTATAAATTGCCAAACTTTCAGTCAACTTGTGTCTAAAAACTTAACTAAATCCTTAAATCCTTTTTGTTTAAAGTATTAACTACACGAGGGCCCAACTGATATCCTTAGCTTACCAACGAAAACATTTAGGTCCAAGATTTCATTCTGCTTGTGCTGGTTACGAGGCATTTTTAGCACTAAGAACACTTTTCTATCGCCCTCTAATTAAATGACCAAACGATCCGGTTGTTGTCTGACAAAACGTTTCACCTATCATATGTCAAACTTTGATCCATGAATCTTTATTAGGTCTAGAGAAAACGGCACAAACGTGACAAAATTTTCGTTCAGTTTCTCGCTCGAAAACTAAAAGTTGCACTTCTATGTTCCGTGACTGTATATATACCAACTTTGTTTCTTTGATGCCGCATTTTCTCTATTGTTGCTGATGTTTTTGTTTCAGAAAATTCACTTCCACCGTTGCGACACGCGGTAAGTTGTGTTCAATTTATCAATAGTTCCAATTCTAGCTTCTTTGAAACCTAAAAAAGAGAGGATTGACATTGGAGTTCAAATATTGAAATGATGTATATGTATATATATGTATGTATATGTATGATTTGTATATATGTATGTATATGTATGTATATGTATGTATATTTATGTATATATGTGTGCATGTATGTATATATCGAATTGATAGACGACCTAACTTATAGTCCAATATAGTAAATAGAGATGAATTTTCAGACCAATATAAATATAGAAGAATTGAAAAAAGTTCATCTTTTCTTTGGTTCCAGCAAACTCTGAAGGACGAGCCAGGTGTAGACTGGAGAGGTCAGTTGCCTGTGGCAGCCAGGGCTCTGGATAAGCACAGAACTCTAACAAACAACCACTACAGTGTGGCTAACACGTCTTGGAGATGAGATCATAGTACGAAACAAAACGTTCAAATCATGGCAGCTTCGCTTTACTCGAACTAAAAAAAACTCTGTGAACTATTTGCGAGTTATGAATTAACATCTCTCTCCGTGTGGAAAAGAAAGGCTCCACAAAATACGGGACATCTTTCGTGTTGCTCTTGATCTTGAAACTGAAGTAGATGCGTCTCTTTGTCACACTCGCTGACTGTATTCGTAGAGTCACACGTTTCACGTTTTTGTCAAAGTTGTAATGCTCTTCACTTGTGCTAAAATTACAATAATTAAGCTTTATCTATGTTTTTGTGCAATGGTTAAGGATAAGGAAGGTCCCAACATTTGAGTGTTTCGCCGACCCGGTTGAGGAATTCGACTATGTTTTGAGGATTCGACCAAAAATCTTCTCTTGGCCGACTGGACAATGTTTTAATTAAAACGAATGAATCAACTAAACGAAATAATATGTTGGTTTGTGTTCGACTCAAACATATTGTGGCCAAACTGATCCAAATTGACTACGTTTTTACCAAACTCGAGGAAATAAAATGTAAACTGAGCTGTTTTGACTCAAACGTGCTTTGTTTCAAGGTTCTCGACCAAAATTGGCAATGTTTCGATCGATTCGACCAAGGG